GGATGGAAATCATAGGTGTGCAATACGACCTCCTCTCTCCCAGCTTCCTCCACTCAAGCGTATTTGCATAAGCTGACCGGATCATATCAGTCATCTCCGAAACGGATGGAATCACCAAAATATGAGCAAATTTTGAAAAGCCATGATGTGTTGTCACTTGAATTGAGGAAAAGCACTGGCCCTTGTTGTGTGTGAGATTATGCGGGAAAGATGGGTGAGGGACGAAGGACCAATCTAATTGCAACATTGCTCTTTGACAAATTGGACACATTCGTGATGGCTTTTTGATGGCTTTTTGATGGCTTTTTGATGGCCTCGCTCGCCTTAAGTTACACTTCTGGGAAAGCTGAAAACTGGGGTGAGGAAAGGCTTGCAGGGCCTGACCGGGATAAAGCGCCAACGACAAAGCCCTGTCATGCAACTGCACTCTGATTGAGGGAATACTCAGTGCTTCGCTGGCCGTGGCCGAAGCCATGTTGCCTATCGCCGATTCCCCGCAATCCATGCACAAAGGGTCCTTGCTGTTTAATTACAGATTACGGGAAGGAGGCATGGATTATTGACCGCTAAACCATGTCACCAGATCGGAGAAGATGAAGAGTGAAGAAGGCATGCCCTTGCAGCCATGAGGAGAGCCCGCGCCTCGCTCGTGGTAACAGTTTTGCAGGACGCGCATCGCCTGGACTATGAATTTCTGCTTCAAAATAGTATACTAGTGCTGCCCTTTGTAGTCGGGTCATCGTGCCTATTTGGTAATATGCAAGGTTCTACACCAATTATAGCAATTTTCCTGTTAAAAAAAATAAAAAATAAAAAACGTGGCAGGTGAGGGTGAAGCACTAAAAGCTCGGGGACAATATACCGATCAATTTTACGTGATGTGCGCTTAATTCTCAGCGAACGCAATATTCAGGTCCGTACCGTACGCGGAATCCGCAAGGCGCCAGCTGATAAGCTTTAACGACATGATTGCTCGGTAGACAATAGAAATGTCCATCCAAAGCTGAGAAAAAACAATTTTTTTATAGAATTATTGATTGGGGCCACGTTACCGTAGGTGGTGGATTATTGGCCGTATCACCTCCACCATTAGAGGCCTGTTTATGCAAGGCAGTCCTCTACGCTAACTGTACTTGCCCACCAGTAGCGAAAATATCACAGAATCGGCGATGATTTTGGAGATAGGTCACACAAATATGCATCCAGTGCTCATTCTGAAGGAAATACTAACCAGGACCCCACAGCTGGGAAGAAATCATTTCCCAATCTTTCCACAATCTTCAAATCGGCGGCTATTATGACAAGGCAAGAGACGACGATATGGCTACAATAGACCACGAAGGTATGTATTCTTGATATACGCTGTCATTTAATCAAGCTGATTGGAAAATTAGAAAGAGCTGAAGTTGCGACCCCGAAGGCGGGCAAAGAGGAAACCTTTTTGGGAAAACTTAAACAGTTCCGTGGTAGTGAGTATTGTTACTCTTGTCGCAGACTTGCAAACCTTGCTAAAGAGTGAATTAGCCCTGGCGGCTAGAGACAAACCGGCTCTAACAGAGGCGTCAAATAAAGGGAGAGACAAAACACCTGTTAGTACTATGAAAAGATTATTTCAATCTACGCTAACACTTGAAAGTTGGATACCGGCAGGTTCAAGATCCGCCCTTCGCCCGTACCCAAGTCCACCAAGATCGACATTGTTGCAATCGGAAATGGCGAGGCACATGATTGGGATTGGTTCCAGAAACAGGTTGACGATACTGGAAATTCCGAACCTGAGAATTTGTGGCAGAGAGGAATAAGGGAGGAGGAGGAGGAACCCAACATCACTGTCGCTCCAACAGCCTCCACGAAAGAGGAGAAGAAAAGTGACGGCACTGTCGTTTCGACTGTGCCTGTAACAGAGGAGGAGAGAGTCGTTGCTCCAACAGCACCCGTGAAAGAGGAAGAGGAAGTTGACAACACCGCTCAAGACGTGCTACCAGGACGCAAGTCACGCAATTGGCTGACAGATCCCACCATGTTGCCTTCCTCTATGCCTTCGGCTCGAATTATGGAATTTCACTATTCTTCAAAGGGTGATGACTCTGGAAATATTGAGACGACGGCTAGCAACTTCTTAATATGTCTCCAGAAAGAACGCAAAGACTGCCCCACTCGCCCTGTCATCTTCGTTGCGCACGCGAATGGTGAGTTGGTCTTGGAGAAAGCTTTTGTACTAGATAGTCCCAAGCTAGTACCGCAGCTCATACAACTACGGGCCCCGGCCGAGAAACCAGTGCCTAATCAGGGAACAGCATCCGGTGCCCCTGACGAGCCACTATCTCCCCCTCCAGGGTCGGATCGGCACAAGACATCGCCGGCTAACGGAAAAGCACGGAAAACTGATCCGGTTCACATTCCACCACCAAAGACTCTGCACGCTCCGAGCGTCGTTGCTGGTGTCATCTTTCTAGAAACCAGCACAGACCGTCCGGGCAAGGATGTGAATTTCCATCGGGACTTTTTATCTGTCATCGTTGAATGGGACATACCTTTGCGGTGGTATTGCAGCTTCCAGCAGTCGTACCGCATCAGCGAGCAACCATTATTCAATACATGCATGTCTAAGGTAGTCTCCGGTTTCTGGAAGGATTGAAGCACGCTAGCTAACTATTGTGTAGTATAAAACACCTCTGCTGCGCACTTTCTCCGAGGACGGGGAAGAAGGTTCCTTGAATAAGTTCTCCGACGTTGGCGATGAAAATTATTCCAGAGTTCGGAGGGAGATTATGGCTATCTTTCGAGATGATCGGTTCCTCGAAGCAGCCTACCAGTCTGGGGGTAGTGCGACCACGCTGGATAAAATAATTGGAAAACTTGATCCAACCGATCCAAAGAGATACGGTAATACGGCTCTCCATATTGTTTCAAGGCTGGGAAATGTGAAGGCCGCGACGACTCTCCTAGACCACGACATGGACATGACTACCAAAACGCAAAGTCCTGACCCAAATCCTGGACAGACTGCACTACAAATTGCTCTGAAGTATGGCCAGTTAGAAATCATCAAATTGCTTCTCGAGAAGGGGACTCCCAGAGCGGAATTTGATAAAGAGATGGCCAAATCTTTGAAAGAACATACGAAGGAGGGTCCAGCTCTGTCAGAGGAAGGCAATAAAATCAGTAGGGAAGAAATACACGATCTCCTAGCAACACTTGCACAAGGGCCTGGAGGAGATTATCCTTCACTAAAAAAAGACTCTCAAACGCCCCTGATATCGCCCGTCGAAAGTATTCCATGGTCAGACAAATTCACGAATCTGGAATACCCCGATCTTCCGCCTAATCCATATGGGAGAAAAGCTTGTAAAAAATATCAGATCACTGTCGTGGACTTTTTTGTCGAAAAACAACCCCCAAAAGAAGCCACCCCAAAGGAAGCCGCCCCAAAAGAAGCCGAAGCCGCACCTCAATGCAAGGAGGCTCGAAACGTCAAAAGCTATAGTGTGCACGATGTGCTGTACCGAAAAGTTCTTGAAACTGACCACTTTCCCAAATTGGAGGAAAGGAAAAAAGAACTAGAGGTCAATCTCAGAACGCAGTTCACATGGTATCATGTTCCAGCTAATAATGTAAGCCTTCGTAGATCCCACCAAAGATATCTGCTAACAATTCAAAGATAGCCTGGGTTCAGGTAAGTCGGTGTACCTTGTGGGGCTTTTTTTCGACCAACTTAACAATAATCTAGGGTCTCCTCTTAAAGCTAGATCGTCAAAAGTGGTTTCGTCAAGGTGCTATAGAGAGCAGGGGCGAAACACCACATTCACGCTTTGTCCAGCCAAAAGTGACTGTATTCAATGGAGACAATAACACCCCACTGCCGATTACTCTATTTGTAGACCCCCTTTATGTTAACATGTTGTAAAAGACTGACTTAGATAACAGACACCATTTCTGAGCATCGAGGACAGGGACAACCAGAAGAATATGGCGAAAACTATTTCAAGAGCCCGAGTCATACATGACCAAATAGAGAACCCACCAGACGATAGCGAATCCACTAAGGGCAAATCCACTTACAGCGAAGGAGTTTTCAATGAAGAGGACATGACAGAAGAGGCATCTTCGCCAGAAGAGCTTCTACTGTTTGGATACGTAGATCAAGCACGGGGCATACATGTTCGCCGCACCCTTGCTCAAAGCTTTTACCCGATGTTGCCCGATACGAAAAAGCAAGATAGAAGTCAGACTCTACTTCAACATCGTGAACCGGGTGACCCTAAGTGTGTGGCCATGGTTGACCAGCTCTGGCTTTACATTTTGGATGGTGCGTTCTGAAAATATATCCCATGTTCAATGACTGACGCGTCTTCAGATAAGCTTATCACAAGCTTCCCTCTCAGATGGGGCGAGGTTAATGGAAAAGGCGAAGGCCATGATATCCTGGACTTACTGTTGAAGAGTTTGAGAAAAAGGCAGCGGAAGCCGATTGTCTCAATGTTCGACTTAGCAAGCGTCATAATCCAGCGATGCGCCGGACTTGTAGCTGCACAACATGAGAGGCTGCCCCAAGAGTACGACATGCTCGGCAAGTTTCGGAAGGCTATTGGCTTAATTGTTAGTATCCCATGAAAGAAAAAATGATTTCCCTACTTACACAATTGCAGGCGAACGATGCAGCAAACTCTTTGAGGAAGTTCGATAAAACGGTCACTCGTCTTGACTATTTGCGTCGCAATAGCTACTTAATCAAACTCCCGAAGAAAAATTACCGCAACTCTTCCGAGTCTGAATCGTCTGAAGATGACAGTGGTATCTCGGACACTGAATCAGAGGAGTCTGATTCCGATTCCGATGTCAACCTCAACCCTTCCCGCTACGAGCAGGAGGTGAGGAGGCTGGAAGTACAGAGGGCCAACAAGAAACGGGAGAAAAAACTGGTTCAAAGTTTCAACCACATCGCCGCTGAGACCAGGCTACTCATTCAAATCAAAGACATCCAAGCCGAACTAGACATGGTGATATCCATTCTGAAACCCCAGCTAAAGGTGATCCAAGAATTTGCGGCGGCCATCCCAGAAGCCATGAAAGGCACTGAGCACGCAAAATCACTTGTGCAAATGCGGGAGAAAGGCACGAAGAAGCTGGATAAGTTCTGTGAGATGTTAAAGCAGTCAACGGGTGTTGATGAAGCGGTACGGTATCTCAATTTGGGTGATGTTCTATGATTTGCTGACTTTGGAACTCGTAGCTTAACCATCTTTTGAACTTAAAGCAAAAGCAGGCCAATGCCTCCGAGGCTCAAATTGCGAATAAGCTGGCGATTGAAACCGGCCGACAAGGCAAGGTATGTGTACCATCATGCATGAAAGACTCCGCTGACAAGAGCAGACACTCATGATCTTTACTGCTGTTACTATCATCTTTGTAAGTTTCTTCTCTAGCTGATTTAAATCCTATTGTTTACCTTTATTACAGCTACCAGCATCGTTCATGGCAGCATTCCTCACGATTCCAATCGCTGACTACCCACATGACGACAAGGGCGCTTCAGCTATGACTCTACATTGGGCTTCAAAGTATATATGTGAGTAAAATCATGCCTGAGCCAAATCTATCATGATGTTCTTCACAATTCTTCTCACACAGCTAATTCCCTCACAGTCTCCATCTCGTTTGGGATCAGCATCCCGCTACTAATCTTAGCCTTCAACTTCGCCATATTTGAAAACGGCGTCAAGAACCGCACTGGGCCCAGGGCAGCAACACATGTGCTCGGTCGGTTCTTCATCAGAGTTCACCAATGGCTGATGTTCCTTTTGGCCTGGATAAGATTATTGCTTTTGCATATATGGTATAGTTTTCTGGGGGACAAAAACAAGTGGAGAAGGAGGAGGTATCGTAGGGCGGGGAGGAGAGCTCTGAGGAGGAGACGAGGGATTTATAAACCTTATGAGTCTGCTGAGAACTAGTAGCTTCTGGATAGTGCTATTTGTATTAGAGCCTTCCAAGCCACAAACACCTCGCCTTCCATTCATCTCGTATCTCCTTGTCTCGTCATGTATGTTAGACTCAGGAAGAAGTCCCGGGCTGCTGCAAGCTCTGCTCCTGAGTAGGGTTATTTACCCATTGCTATTCGGTACTATCCAAGTATTTTTCAGCCTGATACTCCTCGTCCCAGTACACCCACCTTCCAAGACCCTGGTCCCAAGTCTTGTTCGCTTTCATTTCGTTATCCCATTCCCAAGGGTAGCCATTGCCTATACTAGATAAGGATTCTATAGCTTTGCCTTTCTTCAAGTTAGTTAGTGGCTTTCGCTTGCCCGATAAGGCTCTGTATTTGCGACTGCTACTACTTGCGAAACTATCCGAAAGTAGGAGGCAGGACTTTGCCATTTTAAAGGTTTTTCTTCTGCCCTCTTTAAGCAGGTTATCTAGGGACTTTCGAATCTCTTTCAAGTATTTATCTTTCCCCTAATTAATAATATTCAAGATATACTTGCGGAACTCCATATAATAATCGGGCCTCTAAAGCGAGAAACTATTAATACTTACTATATAGGATAGAAGCTTATTATACTTTTAAGAGATATAAAGTCGCACTTCTATACTACTTATAGTAATACTAAATATAGTACTATTAATAAGCTAGACCTCCTTATTCTTATATTGCCTTAGGTAGTAGTTAAAGCATTTAGTAATATTAATATAGATTATAGAGCTCCCGAGATATTAATTTATTACTACCTATAAACTTCCAGATCTGGAAGGGCTATTAGCCTTAAACTCAATAATAAAAAAGGAATAAATTAGGCTCTGACTATTAGTAACTATCTCAGTTCCTATAGAGAGAAATTAGACTTATTATTTAGGAAATACTTTATTTTGGCTATATTTATAAAGTATATTAGATATAGGAATACTAACTTTATAGTTAGATCCGAAATCTGGTATAGTATATTTGGTTATAGAAAGTCTATTAGTTTGCTTTAGATTATTTAATAGTTCGGGATTAGGAAAAACATTAGTCTAGAAATACTTTTCTATATTAGGTTTAGTATTTCCTATCCAGAATTCATTTAATCTAGTATCTTATCTTATTTAATCTAGTAATAGACCTAAAGAGTTATAGTTCCTGCCTATTATAGTACGGCAGGCCATACTCGTCGAAAATCGCATTGTTTTGGCGGTTTTGAGGTTTAGATTATATAGTAAAGGCTGCGGCCTTTTATATATAACTTGTAGAAATCATATAAGAAAGCTGGTTTTTCTATAGACTTAGAGAATAATTCTTTATAAGTATTTAATTAATTAAGCTTTTGCATACTATATACTATTTATACTTTACTATTTACGCTTTTGATTTATTATTTTGCTATTAAGTCACGTTTTGTACTCTGGTATACTTTATATGGGTTTTTGTCTTATTATAGTTTCCCTCTTATATATTTTATAGTAAGTAATATAGGGAGGATAGAAACTTTATAGTTAAGGTAATACTCTTATAAAGTTCTAAGGGGTATTTATAAGGCGGATTATTAGCTTAGTAAGTTAGGAAAGAAAAGGGCTATTATAATACCTTAAGTCTAAGGCCAAAATATTAAGGATATATAAGTATTAATCTCAGTATCTTATATTAATTTCCGATATACCTAGTAACTTAAATACGGGTTAGCCGCAAGATATAGTTATTAGTATAGTATATAGGAGTAGTAGAAATAGAGGCTAACTATAAAAGGAAAAGAAGTAGAGAAAATAAAATAAGAAATATTATATTAAGATAGTATAAGTTAAATCTTAATTAGAATTAGACTTTAGTATTCGGAAATAAAGTTATATTATTAATTTATATATTATTTTTAGTTATAGTAAAAGCCGGAATTAAAGTAGCTTTAATCTTAGTAATAAAGCTTGCTTCTAAATCCGAAAAAGATACCTAAAAGAGGGAATATCTTCAAATTTAAGTAAAATAGTAAACTGGAATTAGAAATAAGAATTAAAAAGAAATCGGAAATAAGAAATTATATAGATAAACTAGAGAAGCTTCTAGAGAAAGAAATAGATACTAAATAAAAAAAGAAAAGAGAATTTAGAAAAGTCAGAAAAATTAGTAAAATTATTTTTATTATTTTTATTACCTTTAATAATATTAATAAATATACCTAGTTTAGCAAAATCAAGGAAAAATACTATAAGTATTAAACTAATAGAATAGGAAAGAAAATATAAATAATAGAAATAAGACTAGAAAAGTTATTATTTTATTATTACTAATACTAAAACTCGAATCTTGATTATATCTATTATTATTAACTGGTTTCTTTCTAATTCCGGTTCCTAAATTAAAAGATATACTTAAATAGGAAATTAGTTCTTTAGGAATATTATTAATAGAAGTCTCAGGTATAGAAACTCTATAATTAGCTATAGAAGAAATTATTAAGATTAATATAGCTAAGAATAAATATATACTAGTACCGGATTTAAACCTATTACTTATAGAAGCTCCTGAAATACTATGGTTTTAGGGAAGTAATATCTTTATATTCTTGAAATAGTATATAGATATATATAAGAACTATTATATTTCTAATAATACTAAAAGAAAAAGAATTATCTATTATATCTTTTCTATTTATAAGAATTAAATTAAGGCTATACCTGAGTATTATACTAATAATTCAGGAGATTACTAGAAGACTAAGTTCTTTAAGGCCTTACTAAAAGAATTCCGAGAATATAACTAGGAAATACTTAAAATTAGCTATAACTTTTTTAATTAGATTATTATATAAGCCTAGAATAAAGGAATCTCGTTTAAGTCTTATATTAATATATTTAATAAAGTATTAAAGGAGTTACTAAAGAGGAAAGAAAGAAATAAAATTACTTAGTACCGAGAATTTATAAGAGAATTATCTATTCTAGTAAGAGATTATATTTTTAAGAATATAAACTTTAAGTCTATAAATATTTCTACTTATAAATATAGTAAAATATATAAGAAAGTAGTAATATTCTATTAGTATAAAAAGAAGAAATATTATTTTAATATTACTAATAACCCAGATATATCTAGATTTAAATAAGAATACTTGAATATAGTAGTTTATAATATAGTTCCTAAACTAGAAAATAATTATTTCTTACTAATTTCTTCTATTATATTTCCTAAAGCTATTATAGGTATAAGTAAGAGAAGAACCTAGCCTATAGCTAATTATATAAAACCTATTAAAAGTAGTAAACCTAAGGGAAATAATATTAACTAGCTAATAAGGAATCTAAAAAAACTATCTATTACTATTATAACTTAAAAGAACTTATAGAAATAATTTAATATAGCTATTATTATAATTCGGGAGAATATCTATAGCCTGCTTATATAGCCTAGCTAACTATAATAAATATAATAGTATTAATAGCCTAATAAGTATAATTCGAGTCTTTAGGAAAAATATACTAGAAGTTATAATAAAGGTTATAAAGAATACTATAGTAGCTATAGTAATTGAACTAAAATAGGTAAAAGATCTAAATAACCGTATTCTAGAAGAAGTTAATCTCAAGTATAATTAGAAAATACTATTTAAGTTAATATAGCCTATAATATAAATCCAGAATTAAAAGAACAAATTTACTATAGGTACTATAGCAGGAATAAGAATAATAATATTAATCCAGAATATATCTATATTTCTTGGTTCTATTACCTATTAATAAAAGAACTTATAAACTATAGATATACTTACTAATTTAATAGAAAATAGTATAAAGAGCTATTTAAGCCTAGATAAGAAAGTATTTCCTTTTTCCTTATTAGTAAGTATTAGTAGTTTAACTAAATTATTTCCCAAATCTAAAGAAAAGAATTTAACTATAACTTAAATACTTAATCTAAAAATATCTAGAGATTAATAGAGGATACCTAGTTTACTAGGCAAGAAAAAGAAAAGAGAACTGGCTAACCGGGATCTATATATAAGAATAAGTAAGTTATATCTAGGAAATCTAAATAGCTACTTTGCCTTAGAGGAAATTATATTAGAATTACTAATACTTTAGGTTCTAGAATTAATAAATAATACTAAGATTTGGCTATAAATAGTATTTCTATTAATACTATAATAGATTTCTTATTAAAAAGAAAAAGAAAAGAGGTAGAAATAGCTAAAAAGGTTTTCCGAAAACAAGCCAGAATAAAAGAAAAGCTATCTTATATAAGAGATTAAAAGAATACTATTTTAAGAAATAATAAATAAGGGAATAGCCTAGCTAAGAATATAAATATTAATACTTCTGGAAATAAATAGGATAAATTAGAGACCTAATATACTCTTAATTATAATAAGTATAGAATTCCTAAAGTTAATAATATTCTAATAAGATTACTAAAGAAAGTAATTATCTTATTTCCGAAAACTTAAAAGAAAATAAGAATATTTATTAATATCTTAAAAATACTAGATCTAGCTATTATACTTTAGAACTAATAAATTAAGGATAATACTTTCTATTTTACTATCTTATAAATAGGAAATACAACTAATCTGGGTCCCAGGCCACACAGATATAATTGGGAACGAAGAAGCAGACGTGCTAGCTAAAATAGGCACTACTTCTCCTATATTAGAACCTGAATCAGTAAAAACCTCCTTTGCTTTCCTAGGGGTCCAAATCAATAAAGTTAAGAAACAAGAGTATAGAGTACTTTTAGAATCTTATACTAAACCAAAGACCCAGCTAGAATCGTATAGCAATATATATCCGTGGAAAGTATCCAAGAAAATACAGCTACCTTTAGGAACTCTAAGGCTACTAGCTAGTGCCTTCTTCCAATTAAAGCTAGGCCACGGATATATAAAATCCTATTTACATAGGCTAAAAATAGCGTCTAATAACAAATGCAAATGTGGCAAGACTGAGAATGCAAAGCACCTCCTTTTATATTGCGAGCTATATAAGGAGGAACGAATTAGACTATTTAGTCTATTCAAGGGTAGCTTGGAGGCTAGTGCTTTTAACCTACGAGTTCTATTACATACGGAGATTGGTATACCGAACACACTAGTATTCTTAAAAGAGACTAGTATATGTACAAGAAAATGGCATATGGACCGAAGCGTGGAAGTGGAAGAAGTGGAAATAGGGGCAGAAATAGGGGAGGAAATAGGGGAGGAAATAGGGGTGGAAATAGGGGAGGAAATAGGGGAGGAAATAGGGGTGGAAATAGGGGAGGAAATAGGGGAGGAAATAGGGGTGGAAATAGGGGTGGAAATAGGGGATGTGGAAATAGGAGAGTGGGAATAGGGGATAGGGGAGGAATCGCGATTTATACTCATTTTCTTTATTTCCTTACTATTACTGTTCTAGGGGTACGTCCCCAACCATTTATTACACCTATATTGGAAATTGAGCCTGTATATAAACTACGGAGACACACGCTAGCTAGCTAGCCGTGCTACATAGTTCTAGACTAATAAAGCACGTTAAAAGGAAAAAAAAAAAAAAAAAAAATAGGAAATACTATTATATTAAATATAATTAGATATACTAAAAGATTTATAGAGTTAGTAGCTATAGCTTATATAATAAATAAAATATTTAAGGAATTAGAAATACTAGCTCAGATACCTAATACTAATAGAATTATTTAATTTAAAGATAATAGTATTAATATTCGGATATTACTAGCTTATAAATATATTATATAAGCTCTATATTTCTGGTTTATATTTTAAGGACTTTAAGGGAATATTAAATATAAAGAAATAATTAATACTAGAGCTAAAGTTAATATTTTCCCCGAAAAGATCTCTAGAAATATTAGTAAAATAATATATAATACTATAGATTATTAAATATTTACTATTACTAGAATAGAATTTGAATTTATAGGAATAATAAAGCTTAAAGCTAAGGTTATAGATAAAGTAGGATACGAAAATACGTTTTTCTTAGTTAAAAAGGCTCTAAAGATCCTATTTAGTTAATTATTCTTAATAAAAATAAAAATAAAAATT